GTCGGGCTCTTCCCACCACCGCTTTTCCTCCTCCCTCTGCTTTGCTCTGTCCTCCATCCTCCTCTGCACTGGAAGCCTCTCCAGGCCCGAAGGCGGAGTTGCTGGAGCTGTTGCTTGATTAGGGCCGTGGCCCCCATCCCCTGACCAGGGGAATTCTCTCTCCTCTCCCCGTTTTTCCTCACCACTTCCCCCTTTCCTCCCTCTTCTCACACCCTGAGCTGGGTAAGGCAGCAACAGAGGCAGAAGCACGTTGATTCCGGTCCTCTCCGGGGCCAAGACCCTTTTACGTCAGAGCTGGTGAACGCAGCTGCCCCTGGGCTGGGGGAGGGGCTGGGGCACTACAGAGCTGAGGTCCCCACTTTCCAGGGCAATGCCTTCCTTCCGTTTCCCTCCCTTTCCTACACCAGGGGTTAGGGTTTAATGTGTGTCTCCATGCCTCCATGCGCTTCTGCCCGCAGTTCCCAGCAGGTCATAAGAGCTGCCCAGAGTTCCGTCCAGCGGGACCTCACGGGAAGACAGGCTCCCAGCAAGGAGCTCTGCAGGAGGGCGAGGTAGCAGGAGAGGACTGGTCATGGCGAGACCTGGGCTTTCTGCAATGAGGGGGCGGCGAGAGGATTGGTCACTGGTTCCTTCAGGAAGCCCTGCTCTCCTGGGGAGGGCGCACCTGATAGGCGGCTTCATTCAAATGTGTTTGGGGCTCCCGCCCCCACAAACGCTCCCCCCTCACCCTCTCTCTGGGGGAGAGGGAGCTGCCACACACCATTCGTTTACGCCCGCTGTCTGCCACGGTGCTCAAGGCATTGAAGCGTCAGTTGGAGGGAAGGCAGAGCATGCATGGCAGGCCTTGCTGGGTCCACTGGGATGAGGCCAGGCCATACACAGCACCTTTCTTGGCCTCATCAATGATTCTCTGAGCTGTTTTTGTCCCCACAGATCCATCAGAATGAAATGCCTGTTGACCAGACTCGAGTTCAGCTCCTCTCCCTCCGGCAGGCCCTGAACCTGGACCCCCTCAGCCTGGGCCAGCCGGTGACTCCCCACCCCTGAGAGAGTGCTGGCCCAGGGAAGCTGATTCGTTGTCCCTCAGGCTCCCCACCCCACTCTCCACACAAGAACAAAGAACAAGGTTGAATTCTTTCCAGGCTTGTTCACATCCCCCATAAAAGAAAACCTTTGGCCAGGCACAGTGGTTCATGCCTGGAATCCCAACACTTGGGGAGGCTGAGGCAGGCAGGTCACTTGAGGCCAGGAGTTCAAGACCAGCCTGGCCAACATGGTGAAACCCCATCTCTACTAAAAATAAAAATTTAAAAAAGTAGCCAGGCATAGTGGTAAGCGCCCGTAATCCCAGCTTCTCTGGAGGCTGAGGCAGGAGAATCACTTGAGCCTGGGTGGCGGAGGTTGCAGTGAGCCGAGATCACACCATTGCACTCCAGCCTGGGTGACAGAGCGAGACTCCATCTCAATTAAAAAAAAAATAAAAATAAAAAAAAGGCCGGGCGCCGGTGGCTCACGCCTGTAATCCCTGCACTTTGGGAGGCTGAGGCGGGCGGATCACGAGGTCAGGAGATTGAGACCATCCTGGCTAACACGGTGAAACCCCGTCTCTACTAAAATACAAAAAATTAGCCGGGCACGGTGGCGGGCGCCTGTAGTCCCAGCTACTCGGGAGGCTGAGGCAGGAGAATGGCACGAACCCGGGAGCGGAGCTTGCAGTGAGCCGAGATGGTGCCACTGCACTCCAGCCTGGGCGACAGAGTGAAGACTCTGCCTCAAAAAGAAAAGAAAAAGAAGTCTGGATTGGCCGGGTGCTGTGGCTCACCCCTGTAGTCCCAGCACTTTGGGAACCCCAGGCCGGTGGATCACTGGAGCCTAGGAGTTTGAGACCAGCCTGCCTAGGAAACAAGCAAGACCCCATCTCTACAAAAAGCTTAAAAAAATTAGCTAGGTGTGGTGGTGCATACCTGTAGTCTCAGCTACTCAGGAGGCTGAGGCAGGAGGATCACTTGACCCTGGGAGGCTGAGGCTGCAGTGAACTGAGATAGTACCACTGCACTCCAGCCTGGGTGACAGAGTGAGACCCTGTCTCAAAGAAAAAAAAAAAAAAGTCTGGGTTGGGCTTTGATTTTGACAGGCAGGGGAATGTCAAAATCAAAGCCCAACCCAGACTTTTTTTTTTCCTTTGAGACAGGGTCTCACTCTACCTGTGTCCACCTCCATTTACAGGGCTGGACATTGGCCCCCGGAGTGGTCTGGCTGAAGGGAGCCCCTCCCATCTTCCCACAGACCTGCACCCCACCCAAGGGCCCAGTTGCCGCTCACTTGGGGCCCCCGAGCTGAGATGGGATGCTGGCTTCATTCTTTTCACCTCTTCTACAAACACTGACCAAGGCTTTTGTTTGACCAGAACCTAGAGCTGGGGGACCCAGCAGGGGACAGAGCAGATGAGGACCTGTCTTCAGGAACCTTCCTGGGGTGGGGGTTCACCCATGGGTGATTGCAAGAATGCCAACACCAGCACTGCGGGTGCAGACCGTGCTCTGGGGGAGACGGGCTGGCAGAAGGCACCGTCAGGGCAGGTGTCTGACCATGAAGGGTGGCTGGAGGGAGAGTGGTCCAGGCTGAGTGGAAGGCAGTGGAAAGCCCCGGGATGGGGAGGGGGTCGGGGCAGAGCTTTGGGGACTCCAGGGGCCCAGCCTGACTGGAAAAGGGAGATTGGCCAGGGCCAAGCCAGGTGGGGCTGTGGCTCTGTGGGGCGTCTGCATTTCTCTTCAGGGCAGGAGGAGCTTTTCTGACTGGTGTCCAGCAGGGGATTGAGGGATGAAGAACAAATCAGGGTTGTTTGCTTTTTTTTTTTTTTTTTTTCCTGAGACGGAGTTTTGCTCTGTCGCCCAGGCTGGAGTGCAGTGGCGCAATCTTGGCTCACTGCAAACTCCACTTCCCAGGTTCACGCCATTCTCCTGCCTCAGCTCCCGAGTGGCTGAGACTACAGGCGCCCGCCACCAAGCCCGGCTAATTTTTTGTATTCTTAGTAGAGACAGGGTTTCACTGTGTTAGCCAGGATGGTCTCGCTCTCCTGACCTCGCGATCCACCCACCTCGGCCTCCCAAAGTGCTGGGATTACAGGCGTGAGCCACTGCGCCCGGCCAAATCAGGGTTTTTAAAGGAGTCAATTTGAAAAGGTTATTGCAGGCTGGGCATGGTGGCTCACGCTTGTCATTCTAGCACTTTGGGAGGCTGAGGCGGGTGGATCACCTGAGGTCGGGAGTTCAAGGCCAGCCTGGCCAACATAGTGAAACCCCATCTCCACTAAAAATACAAAAATTTAGCCGGGCATGGTGGCACACGCTTGTAATCCCAGCTACTCGAGAGGCTGAGGCAGGAGAATTGCTTGAACCTGGGAGACAAAGGTTGCAGTGAGCTGAGATCACACCATTGCACTCCATCCTGGGTGACAGGGTGAGACTCTGTCTCAAAAAAAAAAAAAAAAAAAAAAAAAAAGGTTATTGCAGCACCGAGGACTATCGTGATGGGGGAACTCTGCTCCCACCACAGGGTCTACAAGGAGCTCCAGGGCTAGGCGAAGGCTTTTTGTTTAAGCTCCCAGCCCCACCCTCGGATATCACTCAACAGGCTCCCAGGAAGTCCCCAGACGCTGGTGCAGGTGTGTGGGGGCCTGCTTCACTGGTGACCTCACGTGGCCAGTGTCAGGGGCTGGGGCAGCCCGAGTTTGAGTTCTCTTCTTCCTGTCCCTCAACAAGCCCATCACAATGATCAGTCCCCGAAGGGGTACGCACCTGCCCCAGGTCCATTCAAGGTCCCCAGCTCCAAAAACTGCTTTCCAAATTCCAGCTCCCTTAGAGGGCGGCCAGTTCTCCATTGTGAGGGGGTGAGCTATAGGATTAATTTGCCTTTGAATAGCACTGAGAGGCCTGGGCCTCATCTTCCCAGCAGCGGAAGATTATAATGCACCCGAATTCTCCCAGAGCCCACGGGAGGTGGGTGGGTAGGCCCTTACTGCCTGGGTGGTCAGAGTGGGGGGCTCACACAGATCCTGGGCCAGGGCTCCACGTGACCCCAGTTGCCGCAAAGGTTCCCAGCACCCCAGAATGCCCTGGTCCACCACTGGGCAAGGTCTCCCTAATGAAAGGGCCACGGGGAGGAGGGTGCCCAACCCCCAGTCCCAGGAGACCTGTGGCCAGGAGGCCTCTTTGCTAACACCCCGTGGAGCTGACTGCTCACTCCAGTGACTTCGTATTTCTGGCACCTGGAACCTTCCTGGTTCCTTGTGGGACTCGGTGGCTCCAGGATAAGACTCAGACTATGGGACCCACTCAGGGCCTGTGACCCCAATCCCTGTCCCCCACCTCCCGTTCAGCTGGGACAAGACTGCATGGGTCCTGCAGACAGGCACCTCCACTGGATCCAGGATGGAGCCCCACAGTTGCCCTCCCACCCGGTGCTGGGAGGTAGATGAGGGGTTCATGCTCTGAGCCCCGGACTTGCCCTCTTAACTGAGAGGCTCGGGAATGTTCTGGGAACACAGAATCAGTGCTGCTTCCTCTCTTGCTCTGATCCCAGCCTAGAGAAAAGCTTCCTTCCTGACCTCCCAGGATCTGGAGCCCTGCATCCTCCCAGCGGGTGACTTCCAAGCCCTTTCCAACTTCACCCCTGCAGCTCCCTGGGACTGGAACCTTCCCCCTCCTCTCCGGTGGTCTCCACCTGAATGTCCCTGTGCAGGCTGCCTGCCCCCTACTCCCGAGGCAGATCCAAGATCCCGGCTCAGCCCCCACATCCTCGAGGGCTGCGTGCTCACATGTGATGCCTATGCTACCGGTCCATGGCTCACCCCCCACCACCCCCGGCGGCCTCAGTGGGCTGTCGGTGAATGAATGAATGAATACGTGAAGGTAGGAAGGAATGGGGTGGCCAAGAGGGGGCCAGGAATGTTCCTGCACACAGAGCCCGGCGCGGAAGAAAAGAACACAGAACATCAGTGGTAGGATGATTGAGTGTTTCTTTAAAAATAAAAACCCCACACAAAAGCCAGAACACCCTACCCAACCCAGCCCAGTGTAACAGGTTAGCCATTAACACAGAATAAAAACGGTCCCAGGCACACACGTCATTACTCGGCAGAGGGTCTCCGGCCTGGTCAGCCGACGTCACAGTGGATGGCCCTGCGTGGTCGGGACACAGACGAGGAGCAGGCGTGGCACCTGCGCCACGCAGAGCAGCAAGGCTGAGCACGACCACTGGAAATAAATAAACACGGTGCCGACAGCATCTTTAAATTAGTAAGACGTTAGCACAAAACAAAAAAGCAAAACGACTGAAAAAACACTTGCTTGTTTTGGTGGGGTGTGCTTGAAAACACCTGAAACCCACAAGTGGAAACCTTTGGGGACGTTTGTCAGTGGAGTGTGGAGAAAAAGGGACGGAAAAACGAAGTCGTCTGAGATGGTCCCCTGTGGTGGCCCTGGTCCCCTGTGGTATTCCAACACAGCAGGAAGGGGAGGGGGAAGCAGGCCTCAGTCAGCACCTCGGGACATGGCCCCTACCTTCTGAAGTGGGGTCCCCAGGCTGGGGTGGGGCACACAGCACCAAGGATCACAGACTGAACCCCCCATCGACCTTCTGCGGAGGAGCTCCCACCCCAGCCCAGATGCCTGGAAGAGACCTATGCAGTGTGAAGATGGACCCCAGCGGCCCCCGCCATTTCACTCAGCAGCTACTTCCTGCAACAGACACAGAGCAGCCCCCATGCTCGCCCACAGCCGCAGCAGCCAACCGGCAAGCACGTGTCAGAGAGTCCACTGGCTCCCTGCATCCTTGAGGCATGCCCACCTCCCAGAGCAGGAGGCTGGAACAGAACGGCATCCTGAGGACCCCTACCTGAGGCGGGAAGGGAAGAGGCTGGCGTCGTGCGTGGGCCCCGCCAGCTCCAGTGGGACGCATGCATCCAGGCAGCACCTCTCCCAGACCCGGGGCCGTGGCCGCCTACAATGTCCACTGCCTCCTGGATTTGCACAGCAACGCGCCAGGCAGGTAGGGCACCAGCTACTGTCCTTATCTGCTGCCCAGAGAACAGAACCGGAGGGAAGAGGTCTTGCCCAACAGTCAGTCCATCTGCCCACTGGTGGTCCTTGGCGTCCAGACTGTGGGCTGTCCCTTGGACGAGTGGGATTCGGCCCCAGGAAGGATGCAGTACCCGTGAGCAGATACTGTGGAAGTCGGTCCATGTGCAGCAGGAAGCAACGGGGCGGGGGTGCCAGGGCTGGATGGGCCCCTGGGCTCTGGAATAAAAGTCTTCATTCCTCAAGCAAGAGAGATGGACATCTGGCCCCAGGTCCCCAAACTGTCCATCAGGTTTCTGTAGGCCCACTGGATGATAAGGGGGTCCTGGGGCCCAGGCAGGGGGCGGCAGGCTCCACTGAGCACCGGCTCAGAGCTTGCAGCTTGAGCAGCCGCTGGTCAGTGAAGCCATGTCCAGCCCTGCTCCAGTGGCTCCCGGCTTGGGGTACTCAGGGCTGTGCCACAGGCCAGCTCCTCCAGCCACAGCGGAGCACTGGAGTGATTCTGGACCACTTGGCTCCACCTCTAGCTGGGGAGAAGAGAAGACAGAGCCCCCCAGACCTCAGGAGGGGCCCCGGTGGGGTCTTCTTGTTCTGCGGGCCCCTGGCTGCAGCCACAGAGGCAGCAACAGCTCAGGAAAGTGGACCACACTGGCCAGGCCTCGGCTGCCTCCCATACGGAAAAAAATTCACGGGAACAACAGAAACAGTGGGGGCTGCTATCTCCCTCTCTGCAGGAAGGTGAGGACTGGGTGAGAGCCCAGGGACCTCCAAACGCAGGCGGCAGAGAGGTAAGCAGTGCTTGGCTCTGTCTCCTAGACAACGGGCATCAGGAGGACCAGGACAAGATGTGAGGGTGACAGGGAGAGTGGGGAGGTGCTTTGGCCGGGAGGCGGAACCCAGCCCTGGCCAGAAGGGGCTGCTGGGCAGGGATTTGGGCAGCACAGAGGCCAAAGCTTTGGAGCCTGAGGGTAGCTGTGACCTCCAGGACAGGGGACACTGCTGTGTGGAGCCCAGAGTGGGTTCCCACTTGGGTACCTGGCCATGGTGTGTCTGCCTCTCTTGTCTGTGTCTAGAAGACTGAAGGGCAGGGTTTTGTCTGCATGAACCAGAACTCAGCCTCCAAAACTGGACACAGAAATAGCCAGGAGGTCGCACTGCCCAGAGGCCAGGCCTGGTGAGCTAGGGGAGATGCCGGCACCTCCTGCCCGGGGCTGTTCCCTGGCTTGGGATGGTGTCTCGGGGCTAGGATATACGGTCTGGAGTCCAACAGGGCCTCAGGTACCCCCTGGGAGGAGCTCTGGAATCACCCACCTCGGACCCTCCACCTCGCCTGGATCCCCCACCCCCATCCCAGTGCCACCCTACGGCTGAGTTTCCATTCTGCAAACCCTAAGGCAGAGATATAAGCTCACAGCGTTGGTTTTCATGAATGTCACAAGCACATGAGTCTGGGCAGCTGTCCGGCTTTCAGTGCAAGTCTATGGTAGCAATGAGGTTTCAAGTCTCAGTAGCTCTGTTCGCCCAGGGTCTGGTCCCTTGGGGCACATAGTGTGCAGGAGAAAGGAAGGCTCCTGCCCTCCCCAGCTCCTTAAAAAATCATCATCCTAGTGGTGTCAAGTTGACCCAAAATTTAAGTTAAAAAAAAAACAAAACAAAACAAGTAAACAAAGGAGGGAAGAGAAAAGGGGCCCGACGAGACCAAACGCTGCTCCAGGGCCAGGAGCACAGGCACACCTGGGTCCCGGACTCGACCTCAGCTGAGGGACAAGATTCGTACCAGAGTTTTCACAGCAGCTCCGCCGCCTGACCTGGGAGGGACAGCGAGGGACTGGGATGCGCAGCTGAGCTGTGGACTGTGGGGAACCGGAGTGGGTTCGAGGGCGTGAGCTGCGTTAACTGGCCTCTGCGCATGCTCCTCTGGCAGCCTCTTGGCCTCCTGGCTATGTCTCCTGAGGAACCACCTGCATGAGCTTCTGACACAGGACGGTCGTGGAGACTGTCAGGAGAGAAGACAGCTGTGTTAACCTGGGGGCTGGACAAGCACCAGTGGGACACGCGGGCGTGAGCTGGGGCTCCCCCAGCCCTGCTGTCACCTAACCCAGCACTGCCGCCCCTCCCAAAGTTGCAGAGAAGCCAGAGCTGGGATTTTAAGGAACCCTCCCTTGTGGACTTGTGCAGGTGGATACCAGGTGCCCGAGGCGCTGTCTCCTGCTGAAATGCAGAAGTGCCGCATCCCGCTCGGACCACCCCTCGCCTGCTTCAGAACCCTGGGGAGGCGGAGTGCAGCCCGTGGAGCACACAAACCAGGCCCTGGAGTCTCGGCAAAGTGCAACGGGGCAATGACAGGACTTCCTGCAGGTCCACACCCAGGCCAGCACCTGGACACATACCCGGACTGTTCACAGCAGCCAGGCTGTCCTGCAGGCAGGGCTGGAGGGGCCAATCTGCTAAGGGTTCTCGGAAGACCTGTCATGCCTGGGACTTCCGCAGAGACATGGCTCCGGGGAGGGAGACTGGTTTCAGGATAGATAAGGGGTTTTGCTTTAAGCTCTTGGTGTCCTGAATGACAGTTAATGCAGATCCCACTGCAAAGCTTGAGGCAAATGTTCTACCATGACCCTGGCGGTGATCAGTGTGGGCTGGGGTGGGGGGTCTCCCTGCCTGTGTTGCTGCCATCCCAGGAATTTTCAAAGCCACCCAGTAACATGGGGATCAGCGTCTAGGCCCGCAGGCACCCCGGCCTTTTTCTAGGAGCCTGGCCACGTTTACAGGCGCTGAGGACGGGGTCCTGATCTTGGTGGTGAAGCACCCCCGGGTCTCTGGTCAGAGAGGAGGGTTTCTCCTTCTGCCTTTTTTTTTTTTTTCTGAGACAGAGTCTTGCTCTGTCACCCAGGCTGGAGTACAATGGTGAGATCTCAGCTCACTGCAACCTCCGTCTCCCGGGTTCAAGTGATTCTCCTGCCTCAGCCTCCTGAGTAGCTGGGATTACAGGTGTGTGCCACCATGCCCAGCTAATTTGTGTATTTTTAGTAGAGACAGAGTTTCACCATGTTGGCCAGGCTGGTCTTGAACTCCTGACTTCAAGTGATTCACCTGCCTCGCCTCTTTCTGCCTTTCTCGCTAAGTCTGCTGTGTCAGCTGGTGGCAGCCAGCAAGATTCTGTTACTTGGCAGCAGTAGCCTGGTGTTCTGGAATCCCTCGTCCTGAGAGGTGAGCTGGTGCTGCGCTGAGCGTCTTATCCCCGAAACATGTGGGCTGCGTGTCACTGGCAGACACTGCAGGGACCTGAACCCTTCTGCCACCCAAAACGCTTGGCTCCGTGTGGGTGGAGATGGCCGATGCCTCTCAACTCCCTTCGCTACCCAGGGCAGAGGGTACCGTGGGCTGCGTGCCAGCGAGATACTCACAGATGCCCTGCAGGAGCCACTGGGGCTTGTTTTTCCACCAGACCCCGAAGAAGTAGACGGGCAGCCCGCTGAGGATGATGGTGAAGCCGATGCCACACTCCACGGGGGTCTTCCAGAAGGAGACGGCGATCAGGAAAAGGCAGGCCAGGATGAAGAACACAGGCAGGGCCAGGTTCACCTGGGGCAGAGGACAGGGCCTGGATGAGCCTCCCTCCCCCATGCCCTGAGGTTCCTCAGCCCTCCTGGGCCCTCCACACCCACAGCTGCTGACTTCCAGGTCACCAGGATGTGAGCTGCACCCCATCTGGCTCACGCACCGGCCTGTCCCACTCTAGACTCTGCACACAGTGCTGGGTCTGGATCTGGCTCACGCACCGGCCTGTCCCGCCCAGACTCTGCACACAGTGCTGGTCTGACTGGCCCACGACCGCCTGTCCCGCTCCGACTCCTGCAACACAGTGCTGGGTCTGGATCTGGCTCACGCACCGGCCTGTCCCGCCCTCGACTCTGCACAGTGCTGGGCATATTGCCAGGGGCTCAGGCGGCTGCTGATGAGGGATGGAAGGAGCCAGCTTCATCTCCCGAGGCCTCCCACGGACAGGGAAGGTCACAGCTCCATTCCCACATCACAGGCCTGGAAACCCTGAGCCGCCAGGACACGCAGGGGCCTGATGCTTCCAGGAGACAGTGGCCACCCACTAAGAAGCCAGGAGACCACCCTCTTGGAGACCCTGTTGTGGATACCACTGAGCAAAAGCCCATTCCTGAAGCTGTAGTCTAAACTGTCACCTTCAGCAGACGAGCTCCACCTGGCACAGAAGCCAGGCAGGGCTGTGAGGAGCCTGCAGGCCCAGCCTGTGACCCGCGGTTCGGCACAGCTGTGGGATTGACTCGGCTGTCCTGAATCCATACTTGGACAGGGCACCCTGGGAGACGCAGGGCTGACCACGTGTCCTAGCCCATCAGTGCAGGCCGCATGGCTGCCCTGTCACCAGGGAACAGATGCCAACCCCGTGCTCAGGCTCACAGTGAGCAGAGCCAAGCTTACCCCATGCCCAGGTCCCCATGGGGGCTGAGCCCCCGCCATGCCCAGTGACTGCCCTCTCCTGGGCCAGGCTGGGCCTCCTGCTGCCCTCCAAGGCCCTGTGGCTAGGCTGGCACAGCAGGCACAAGCTGGTGCCCATGTAGGACGGCTTCTCCTCGCCCTCTGCAGCCTTCTTTTGGGGCTGCATCTGGGTTCTTGTGCTGACCGTATTTTAAAGCCCGTTTTTTTTTTTTTTTTCTTTTTTTTCTGAGATGGAATCTCGCTCTGTTGCCCAGGCTGGAGTGCAGTGGCGCAATCTCGGCTCACTGCCAAGCTCCACCTCCCGGGTTCACACCGTTCTCCTGCCTCAGCCTCCCGAGTAGCTGGGACCACATCCACACACCATCGCGACTGGCCAATTTTTTATATTGTTAGTAGAGACAGGGTTTCACCATGTTAGCCAGGATGGTCTCAATCTCCTGACCTTGTGATCTGCCCGCCTCGGTCTCCCAAAGTGCTGGGATTACAGGCGTGAGACACTGCGCCCGGCCTAAAGCCCCTGTTAAACAGCGTTCACAGGCACCCCTGGGGCCCCCAGGCTTCAGGAACACAGAGGGAGAGATGGTCTGGGCAGGGAAGCTGGGCTACTGTGATAGCCATATGCTAGCTGAGTGACAAAAGCCACTGGCCAGCAGCCACCAGGGGCTCTGGCCTCTCGTTCTGTGTCACGGCCAGGGCAGCGTCGCTTGCTGGGCCCCAGGCAGGAGCATGGTCTCTGCTGGACGACCCCCTTTGTGAAGAAAGCAGCTCACTGGTCACAGCTGCCCCTCTGAATGAGCTGCTGGGGATGGGGAGAGTCCAGCGGGGCCCAGGCACTCCCTGGGCCGGGTACCCTGAATTCTACCTGCCAGCACAGCCACGACGGCCCTTTGAATGCCGTGCCAGGCCCGGCTCTACCCTGCCCCTGGCAGGGGCTCACCACCGCCCACCTACGACTGCAATGTCCTTATCTGCTTCCCTCCATTCAAGGGCGCACAAGCTCTGTGCCATCTGTTGTCCTTTGAGGAACCCCAGCTCCTGCAATCACACTGGGCACTCTTGTAGCTGGGTCAATAGTCATCACTGGAATTAGCTGACCCTGTGTCTGCTGTAAAAGCATGGGCACACACAGCTCTGCACCCCTCCCACTGGGACCCCCTGCGGCATGAGCCCTGGTTTGCCAAGGGGAGACTCGGGTTTGATGTGGACGTGGCCCTGCCCAGGTGCATGCAGGCAGGGGCAGGTCCAGAGGCTGAGCTGGGATGCTGGCTCCTGACTCAGGGTCCTTAGGACCCATGGACCCTGCCTCTGAAGGGTGCCTGGGGGAGCCGGAGGCCCTGGGCTCACCTTGATGGGCCGGTCCAGCTCGGGCTTTCTATAGCGCAGCCAGATCATGCCGATGATGGCCAGGGCCACGCACAGCCAGTTGAAGAAGCTGAAGAAGTTGATAACGGAGAAGATGTCCTTGGAGAAGGCATAGAGCAGTGTCATCACACACTGGAAGAGAGAGGCGGATGGCTGAGCCCTGGGGCCCACAACTAGGGCTGGGGAGGGCCGTGGTGGTCACTGGGGACCGTCTATCCTGGCTGGGCCCAGCTGAGCACCAGGGAATTTTGTTTTAAAGAAGAAACTTCATCTGAGCAACATGCAAGGTCTTGCAGGATGAAAGGAGGGAAGGAGAGAAGGAAGGAGGAGAGGAGGAGGGAAGGAGGAAGAGGAGGGAAGGGAGAAGGAAATGGAGACCACATTTGGGTTACGGACAGGTGAAGAGCACAGTGTACACACGCAGCTGGGCGCCGCTGGACTGTGGCTTTGTGTGTGAGGGCCACAACCTGACCTAACTCGGTGGTCACCAGGAAAAGTGTTTCTGTAACCCCCAGCACAGCCGTGCTCCCGAGGACCATGCAGTTGCCAAAGAGTCCAGGACTCGCTGCCCTTCCTGACTTGCTTCTAACACAGGGAAGGATTAGTAAGCAAGGGCCAGGATCTCTGAGGCCAGACCACAGCTTCCTCTGCTGTCTCTCACTGGCTTTGGGGGAAGCAGCCTGTAGGGAGGCCAGTGTGCTGAGGGGCGGGGCCTGCAGCCCATAGTCATGCAGGAAGCCACCCCGGGAATGGCCTCTCCAGCCCTGGTCACACCCTCAGTTGAGACCACAGCTCCAGGCACCAGCTCCCTGAATCCCTGACTCACGGAAACTGTGGGATAATAAGTGCTTTTCCTTTTAGATTACTACGTTTTGGAGTGATGTGTGACACAGCAAGAGGGAACGAAGGCAATCAAAGGCGCTGGCACGGAAAGATGCAGGAGAAGTGGAAGGAAACTGCGTGTGATGCACGCCGCTGAGAAACGAACACGGGGCAGGCGCCCGCGGAGGCGGAGGTGCGGTGAGCCAGGCGGCCAGCAGAGCAGCAACCTGGGTGGAGCTTCTGCCTCCCGCATTTCCGATGGACTGAATTGCCTGTGGCAGTCACCATATATTGCTTTTGGAATAAAATCTTAAGGCCCTCCAGCACTCTCTGGCATGCAGCGGAGCTCGGCAGGAGGCCACATTTGAGCTGCCACCCAGTCCACACCCTAGACAAAGCTGCGAGCTGTGGCAGCCTCCCTCTGGGAAGTTCCTGGACAACCCCCAGGGACGCAGGGCACGGGGCTGTGCAGCAGGCTTACCGTGAACACGAGGGACGGCACAGGGGTGAGGAGCCGTGGGTGGATCATGGAGAGGATGGAGGGCAGGTGGCCTTCCCGGGAACCCACGAAGAAGAGCCTGTGGACAGAACAGAGTGGCAGTCAGCCACTGCCTCGCAACTCAGCACAGGGACAAGGGACATGGCAGGCTGGGGAGTGGACAGGATCCGTGCCTGGCTTGCCTGGGCCTCTCTGGCCAGAGTGGGAACCAGGCCCCTCCAGCTGCTGGCTGTAGGCCTCTCAGTGTCCTCAACCAACTCAGCTGGCAAGGACAGAAACTTGGGAGCCACTGCTCACCCCAGCCCAGGGGTTTGAGCGGCAGCTATGGGGCATCCAGGACACCACGGCTGTGTCACTTCCAGGCAGGAGCAGGGAAGCGAGGGCCAAAGTTCACACTTCCTTTATTTCTGTATTGTTTGAGCTTGCTGCTGTTTTTTCCTTTTCTTTTTTGAGATGGCCTCACTTTGACACCCAGGCTGGGGTGCAGTGGCACCATCTCAGCTCACTGCAGTCTCAACCTTCTGGTCTCAAGCAATCCTTCCACCTCAGCACCCCAAGTAGCTGGGACTACGGTGGCACATGCCACCATGCCTGGCTGATTTTTGTATATTTTTGTAGAGATAGGGTTTTGCCATGTTGCTCAGGCTGGTCTCAAACTCCTGAGCTCAAGCGATCTGCCCACCTTGGCCTCCTAAAGTGCCGGGATGACAGGCATGAGCCACCGTGCCTGGCCTATTGGAGCAACTGTGTATCCCCAGTATCACCGAGACAAACCCTTTACAGACATGGAACATGTTGAACCGGGCCATGAGGCCTGGGCCTCCCTCACCTGTTGTGGGCAGGGCTGTGCTCACCTGGAAGATGTGAACAGGGACCCATTGACGGAGCCGAAGCAGGACAAGCCCACGAAGACGGGGATGATCCAGGACATGACGCCCAGGTGATAGTTCCCGAAGTCCTAGGCAGGCACAACCAGTGAGTTGGGCCCCAACGGCTGGCTCTCACCCTCCCCGCGCTCACCAGGAGCCCTGTGAGCTCACAGGAGCCCTCTGCAGAGGACCTCTTGGGCTGGATTCTGGCCTCTGGGGGGACTTCCCAGGACAGGGCTTTCCAGCGGCCCCTGCCCAGCCTGCTTGTGGGGGAGCACTCGCTGGTCCTGATTTGCCCCTTCCTCTGGACTCCTCTGGACTCCCTGGAGCAAGCTACGGCCTCCAGGTGGGGATTTTGCCTTCCCTATCTGGGGTCCTCTGCAGGCCCAGCACGGTGCCCTGCAGGCAGTGGGCTGGGAGTCAGAGCTTGTTCAGTAGGAAGCTGGCCAGAGCGCCCACTCCCTGTTTCCCGGGCCCTGGGAGGGCAACGGGAGGAGCCTTGGAAGCTACGGGGCCAGCCTGGCTGAGCTGCTCAGTGACACTGCCCGGGCTTGGCCTCCTACCTGCCAAGCCAGCAATAGCCGTGCCTTCTAAAGAACCCTAGTCTGTGGCAGACTCCAATCTTTCTGCACTCAGATTTAAAACGACCGCTGCCTTGGACTCCCTAGGCCTTCTGGCTTACAGCTGGTTCTGGGTGTGGCCTGGCATCAGATTTTAAACCCCTCTCCCCTGTGACTCTCCCCAGCAGCCGAGGTGGAGGACGATCCCCAGACACTTCCTCTGCGGCTGTTGTGAGGGGAGACCACCACTCCACTCCTCTGGGCAGGGGAGGCTTAGAGACGTGGGGCACCTCTCCAGTCTGGAGGGGATGTGCTGGTCACGGCCTCAGACCCCTGGTGGAAGCTGGCGGGTAGCGACTCACCACGGCCACGGCCTCGGAAGCCAGCATCTGCTCGGTGGACAGGGTGGTGAAGTAGGCCAGGTTGGTCAGCACATACACCAGCGTCACGATGGGCAGGGAGATGATGATGGCCAGGGGTAGGTTTCTGGAAGGAACAGGGACGACATGTCACTCAATGCACCCAGGGTGAAAGCCAAACCCTGTGCCCACGAGCCAGGTGGGCTCCTCGCCAGCAGCAGCTCCGGCCTCTGTGCTCAGCTTCTCAGGGAAGGTGGGAAGCAGCAAGAGAGCACAGGCTGGTGGCAGGAGACTGTGCCTGGAGCAGGACACTGCACAGGCCTGGCTGGTGCTTGGCCGTGGCCTCAGCTTCCCCACCTGAGAAACAGGGATTCTTCTGGGTGACCTCAAAGGCTCAGGCGAGCTAAGTCAGGCCGCCCCGGTCTGAATCCTAAGGCTCTGCCCATGAGCTGCACAGCCGGGGACCAGAGCCGAGAGCCCAAGCAGCTCCTCTGTACCATCCCGCCCTGAGTGGGGGCCTCACTTGCCACCCGTTCTCTGGAGAAACCGTTCTCAGGGACCCGCTCCACATCCTGCTGGCCCCAGAGGCCCCAGTCGCAGCCCTACTGTGAGCTGGCCTTAGCCAACCAACAGGCTTCAGATGGCAGGTGGCTGCCTCCCGCCTCACAGTAAAATAATGAAAAACGACGCCTCCGTCCATTCTTGCACGTACCTGTAGGGGTTGATCATTTCCTCTGTGACGAAATTCAAGTAATTCCTAAAATTTAGAGAACAGCTTTCAAACGATCTGATCCTCATCAGGGAAAAGAAATCACCGGGGAGAGAGCACCCCAGGGCAGCTGGTGAGCCTGACCCCCCCAACGCCAGTAGTCTGCTCGCCAGGCTGGAAAGCAGACACGGAGTGGAAGCTCAGCCTCCTGTCTGCTCCGGGGGTCCCTCTACCCCTTCCAGGCCCTCCTGCACATTTCCTGCCCGCTCGCCCCACTGGGGTGATTCTCAGGTCCCTGTGAGGCCTGCCTGAGCGCAGGAGCCAGGCTGGGGATCCGGAGGGGCCGCAGGGCTCAGCTGCCTCCACCCGCCACCTTCGCCACCAAGACTGAGACACAGAGCTGGAGCCAGAGCAGGGCTGCAGCGGGCGGCCTCCCCATGCTTCGTCGGGGTGTGGGTGACTCTGGAGGGTCACCTGCCACTCTATACCGTCCACTCCCTTTAACTGCCCCTTGATGGCTGGGAGGTTTGGGATTCCTGGACATGTCACGGAATGTGTGTCCCCAGACCAAGGGACCCAGACATTCCAGAACCTACCATCCTCCGTAGGCAAAGAGACCGCTGTATAATGCCAGCACGATGTTCCCCACATCCAATTTGGTGCCTTCAAATGAGAACTTGGGATCTAGATTGGACACATCACCTGTCAGGGGCCAAAGAAAGGAATGCTGGGTTAGAGAGCATGGAACAGAGGTCATGCTACCAGTTCCAAAATGTTCCTGGAGCAAAACACACAGCCAAAAAAATGCTGGAGTGAAGGCTTTTCTTTTTTCTTTTTTTTGAGACGGAGTCTCGCTCTATCGCCCAGGCTGGAGTGCAGTGGCACAATCTCGGCTCACTGCAAGCTCCGCCTCCTGGGTTCCCGCCATTCTCCTGCCTCAGCCTCCCGAGCAGCTGGGACTACAGGCGCCCGCCACCTCGCCCGGCTAGTTTTTTGTATTTTTAGTAGAGATGGAGTTTTACCGTGTTAGCCAGGATGGTCTCAATCTCCTGACCTCGTGATCCACCCGCCTCGGCCTCCCAAAGTGCTGGGATTACAGGCGTGAGCCACCGCGCCCGGCCTGAGTGAAGGCTTTTCACTGTGACAAATGGTATGTACCTGCTGAGCCACATGGAGGGTGCAGGGTTCCAACCACAACCAGAGGAACGTGGCCCCACTGGAGGCCCTGTGCTGTGCTCACCTGAGAGGGGACCGGCAGCTCTGACCACCGCCCCGGAGGGCCCCTCAGACGCTACAGGAGGTCAGGAGGGAGGGGTCAAGCAGCCCCAGTCGTCTTTACGAACGTTCCCTGAGACCTCATGACACGAGTGTCGAGGCAGTACGAAGCCAGGGGACCTTGGTTTGCATCCTCACTGCGGCACCAAGGAAGGCCCAGAGCCACCAGGGCCCTGCTTCTTGGGGTGTGGGGAGCTCGGAACAGACTGCCTTCCCTCCAGGGCTCACAGGACAGGCCTGGGGAAGAACGCAGGTTTGTCCTGGACTGTGTTTGTACAGCCAGCTGCAGCTGGGGCAGGGACAAGGGCAGGGCTGCCGGGCCGAGAACGAGCCCTGGCTGTGTGCAGAGCTCTCTCCTTTGCTATCTGAGGAAATGTGTCACTGGACCTCGTGATGGGTCCACCCTGTTCCAGAAGGACCTCATTTCAAAACCTGAACCTCAGTCACATCTGCAAAGATCCCTTTTCCAAATAAGGCCACCAGCATTCATGGGTTCCCCAGGAGGACGTGTCTTTTGGGGGAAGGGGTGTCTCCGGAAGGTCACCTGGCTGCTAGGACAGCTCTGGCCCTTTCTGTGACTGTTACGTCCTCTGTGAAATGGGCCCGGTGTGTTCAAGCCCGGAATACATTGCCCAGACACCTGTCTCATGGACCACTGTGCTTCAGGAAGGAGAACTTGGAAACAAGACCAAAGACACCACCGGAACAGAGGAACTGGTCCCCTCCCGCCCACCTGCAAGGCGCACACACAGCTGGAGGCACACGTGGAAATCTGGTGAGGCTGTGGACGGTCAGTTCATGTGAGAACCGTGTGTGAGTGCCCTTCGTGCTGAGAACTCACCAGCCCGTCTCGCAGGGCCAGGAAGGGATGGGCCCCGGGGCTGCTGTGTCCCACCTTGTGGCCTCAGACCACAGGTCACCATGGGGGCCCAAGAAGGGGAAACACCTTGGTGGTCCAGGGAACACTGCAGAGCAACGAGGTGAGCAAATTTCAAAGGGGGCCCGTGAAGGGAGGTTCCCATAAGACCTTGGCAATTGCCCCAAACGAAGCGCGAGCTTCAAAGGTGGTACCGGATTTCCTACGGCAGAGCCCACGGTGGGGTCCCTTCCCGCTGGGTGGAACCGGTTCCTGTTTTGCACCTGCTTCCCTGTTGGATGCCTGCGGCTCTGTCCCCAGCTCTGTCTGTCCCAGATGCCAGGTTTGCTGGGGCCTTTGATCTTCAGCCTGCAATGGGGACGCTGGTGGGTTCCCTGAGGGCTGCCCGCCACCCCGCCCTGCCAAGGCCTTGATCTCCTGAGAAGAATGAGCTCTGGGGCCCACTGCCTCCGTGTGATGCGTTCCAGGTCCTGGTCACCGGGTGGTCAGCAGGCGGGGCTTGACCCTGCAGGCCTGGAGTGGGGGCAGCTCAGAGCAGCTCAGGACAGTGCACTTTGCACAGCACCTCGGCCAAGACGCCCACAGCCCCTCTGGCCTCCCTCCCATCTCTGATGGAATGTTCTGGAATGTGCAGACCCTTCACATCTGCAGAGTCCTACTGTGTTCTGCCCACTTACTTCTGCAGGGGGAAGCATCTGTGCTACAAGTGAGGAAATGCTGACCTGCCAGGCTGCTTGAGAAGCGAGGTCCTGCCTCCCCCATCTGGCACTCACAGTGGGAGGGGGTGAAGGTGAGCCCTGGAGGCCAGAAACACATGCTCCATTCACTGTGACCCCCCCGGACTCAGCCTGAGCTGATGGACAGGAGGCCTCAGTCCATGGTCCCTGCCAGACACATCAATCCTCAGAACCCACCTCCAGCCTCACGACAGGAAAGGCAGCTGATCCCACACAGAGGGTGGCTGCTTTTGCTAAGGACAATATGCTGGCTGGACATGGTATGAGGCCTTCAGGCAGGAGCCAGTCATCGGCAGCCCTAAGGCCTGGGTAACTTTTTTTTTTTTTTTTGAGACAGAGTTCCACCACGCCAGGCTAATTTTTGTATTTTTAGTAGAGACAGGGTTTCACCATGTTGGCCAGGCTGGTCTTGAACTCCCAACCTCAGGTGATCCACCCGCCTCGGCCTCCCGAAGTGCTAGGATTACAGGTGTGAGTCACGGCACCAGGCCAGGCCTGGATAACTTTAATGTTTTAATCAGCGTCTCACTCCATTCTGTGGTCACAGTCATCTCCATGACTACAGCACTGGGGACGGGATACCTCCCACACAGTGGCGCTCCCTGGGGTGCACAGTTCCATTCTGCAGCCTCTGAAACTTCCAAGAAAAGAAATACCAGCCGCTCTGACCAAGCACAGACTTAAGCATCGTTCCCGTGCCGGGTGTGGCAGCTCACACCTGTAGTCCTAGCACTTTGGGAGGCTGGGGCAGGTGGATTGCTTGAGCTCAAGTTGGAGACAAGCCTGGGCAACATGGCCAAACCCCGTTTCTACAAAAAATACAAAAAGTAGACAGGTGTGGTGGTGGCAGGCCTGTAGTCTCAACTTTTTGGGAGGCTGAGGTGGGAGGACGGCTTGAGCCGGGGAGCCGGGAGGTTGCAGTGACCCGAGATCACGCCATTACACTCCAGCCCGGACAAGCTCCAGCTAGGGAGGCTCGGCAGGGCCCCTCTCAAGCCACTCATGTGGCTTCCATTCTTAGGACAGTGTGGCCAGGGATGCCCTGCAGGGACCTCCTGGGCTATAGCTTGTCCAGGGCCTCTCTCTGTCACGTGTCTAAGGTCCTGGAGGCCGGTGGATATGCACAGAGGAATGACATCCCCCAACCTCACAGCCTTGGGTGCAGCCGGCAGACCCACTCCTCACCCCTCATGGGGGATGGCAGGAAGGCAGGGGTTCAGGCTCTCCCACGGACCCTAGACTGGGGCTTGGTCCTGACTTTGACACGAAGCCCCAGGCACTGGGCAGGACCGGAAGGAATGGCTGAGCGGCCCACTCATTCAGCAGTCACCCAGCCTCCACACCTGGCAGTCCGCTGTCCAGTCAGCCTCCACCCGCGAGGAGGGGGACAGCGTGACAGGGAAGGGAGGAAGAGAATCACCATGGACAGACGGTGACATTTGCCAGAGCCCACAGAGACGCAAGAACAGCCTCAGCACAGAGCCTGAACGGGACCTTCCAGCCCCTTCCTTGTCCCTAAAAGTCATCTTCCTCAGGGGCTGGTGAGGTTGCCATGAAAGCAAACGCACGGCCAAACCCCGGGGGAGCAGGCAAACTAGAAAACCACCCGGGCACAGCAGCCTCTGCCTCGTCAGCAGGATCCCCTCGAGAAAGGGGTAATTGTGGTGGGAACGCTCCAAAGGCCCTGGGGAGATGATTTCAGGGAAAAGTGGCCTTGATCTCTGAGTCCCACAGATGTGGCCATGGGAACCATCCACCCAGAGGCTGGAGGGGAGACTCCGCCCGTGTCTAAAGCCATAGGGCTGACAGGGCCCGGGGACGCCGCAGTGGCCAAACGCACATGGGAACGGGATCCTCCCCCCTCCTCCGTGAGGTGGCCAACCTCTGGCTCCTGACTCAGAGGACAACGTCTCCCCATGAACTCTGTGTCCCTGGAGAGAGCAGCCTGCCCAGCCTGGGAACATGGGAATGTGGAGAGGGAGGGCATCCCAGAGCCTCAGGGCTGATGGGGACCTGCCCCAGCCCTGGAAACACCTCAGGGGCAAGACAGTCACTCCTCAAGCATGAACCTTCCGCTGTGCTGGGGCCTTCCGCCTTCCAACCGCTCTGCACTCTGGCCCCTCGGGGCTCCAGGTGGAGTGCGCTGAACGGCGTCCCTCAAATTCACGTCCAGTGGAGCTGAGGGATGTGTCCTAGCTGCAAATGCGGTCTCCATAGGTGTAATTAGCAAAGGACCTTGAGATGAGATCATCCCAGATTAGAGCGGGCACTAAGGCCGACGACAAGTATCCTAAACGACACGGAGGAGACAGACCCAGGCGAGGCGGAGCTGGAGCAGCCGAGGATTCCTGGAGCCACGGGCAGCTGGAAGGGGAAGGTGGCACCTTGGGTCTGGACCTCTGGCTGCCAGGACCGGGACCGTCTGTATATGTCCATTGCTAAAGCCAGTCTGCAGGCATCTGTCACCACACATGAGGGGCCAACTGTACCACCCAGGGGAGACCTCCCTGGCTTCTCAGTGCGTCAGACACGGTCGGGGCAGGACAGCTGCAGCTCAGTCACCAGTCGAGTGCACAGTCAATGGCTCCTCATCTAACAGGGGACCGGCCGCGGCCAGGGCTGGGGGGCTGTGAGCTCCGTGTGGTCAGTACCCTGGAGCTAGCTGCCCTGTGGGCTCACGGAGGACATGCAGTGACTGCCACACGGGTTCGGTCCAGAGCCCAGGCCCCACACCTGGGGACCACACCTGGGGCTTCCTCTGGTCTGCCCACCCCAGGCCATGGCGCCACTTTTCAGATGCCTGTTTCATTCTG